TGACATTGTATTAGAGAGGAGAGACAGATAAATATATTGATAATTAATATTTGATACATACATGGCCTTTTTGTTTGTTTTGTAGTCTTACTGAGTGTCTCATATGACCAAAGTAATATAGCATTATCAATTCAGTGCCATTTCTAAAAGATTTAATGGGATAATACCATCTACGTGCTATGTTTTTTTTAATCTGGATGATTCTATACAACTATTTTGTTTTCCTTTTAACACTTTAACGCTGATAACACAAATGTTGTTACCTGCTGCTCTGAACTGAGAGAGCAAGAGAGAGTGTCACATAACAGTAACATATGAAGATAGACTGCCCCCTGTTGATAAGAACAGAACAAATACAGTGTGTGTGTGTGTGTGTGTGTGTGTGTGTGTGTGTGTGTGTGTGTGTGTGTGTGTGTGTGTGTGTGTGTGTGTGTGTGTGTGTGTAGCTTCTGAAGCCATGCGGGGCTCCACTCCGCTGGACGTAGCAGCTTCTTCGGTGATGGACAACAACGGCCTGGCTCTGGCCCTGGAGGAGCCGGATCTGGAGAAGGTTTGATACTTTAGCTCATAATCAAACATATTATGGGTACATTTGCTTTAAAAAGGTGATTAAGTGATTCCTTGAACCATGATTATTAAGGGGTGTCGTTCTGTTTAGATAACCAGTGGTAAGTTTAGAGTTTGGTTATGTGTTGAGGTAGATAAAGCTTTCTTTTGATTTTGAAATTGCACATTTTAATCAAATGATCTGTCAAATGCTGAGATTAAACAACAAGGTATTGTGGTTGGAACACTTTTAGATTAATGTATTTTTTGTTTTTTTTATTTAGGTTAAGTGCAGTGAAACAACCCTATAAGCTCAAAACACATGTCCTGGGACAATAACATTAGTAAAAGTAATATATCCTATAAATGTAGATGAATGATAAGTATATTCTGTGACATTACATCGAGGAACTCTGCAATATTTACAGCTGAGATGATTTAATTTTACATCTGACTTTTTCGCATAGTGAAAGTGATTCAGACAAAAATAAAAATCCTCATGCCACCCAAGTTTTGTCAGTGAAAAATGAAGTCGATTTTGTGCCATTTGAATACGCTTGCTCAGCAGATGCTTTCTAGCCAGAGTGCTATTATAATACCCAGGGATGAAACTGAATTTTTGTGTGTGTGTGTGTGTGTGTGTGTGTGTGTGTGTGTGTGTGTGTGTGTGTGTGTGAGAGAGAGAGAGAGAGAGAGTAGTGTATGTGTGTGTGTGTGTGTGTGTGTGTGTGTGTGTGTGTGTGTGTGTGTGTGTGTGTGTGTGTGTGTGTGTGTGTGTGTGTGTGTGTGTGTGTGTGTGTGTGTAGGTGGTGACATACCTGGCAGCCTGTGGTCTTCAGAGTTGTGCCATGCTTCTTGCTAAGGGTTACCCAGACCTCGGCTGGAACCCTATCGAGGGAGAGCGCTTCCTGTCCTTCCTGAGGTTCGTCGTCTTCTGCAACGGTAGGTAGACTTTCATACTGATTCCATGACAGTAATAGGAGGGGGCGAATAGCTAACCCCGGAATAGTTGACAGTTCTAAAAAGGGGTCTAAAAGAAAATATTTAATCAACAATGCAATCAAATAAAGGCGAAGCAATATCAAAACATTTAAGATATTTACGATTTATGAACATTTAGGAGTTGGCAACGAAACACGTCTGTGGCTTGGCTATAGGGGAAACAATTGTGAAAAAGGGCAAAGTTCCAATTACAACTACAAAAAGCAAGTAGTCTGACAGCAATGCACCTACACAAAACAATTGGCGTCAGTCAATAATCAAAAAGAAACAGATTTTGACGATATGCAAGACTTGACTAATCAGATTTGACTAAATCTTAGAATTGGACAACCCTAAAAAATAAAGTAGATTCTATTTAAAACGTCCCCCCTTCAAATATGTCCATAATCCTGTGCTGTGTTTCCAGGTGAGAGTGTGGAGGAGAATGCTAACGTGGTGGTGAAGCTTCTGATCAGACGTCCCGAGTGTTTCGGCCCCGCCCTGAGGGGAGAGGGAGGTCAGGGTCTGCTCGCCGCCATGCAGGAGGCCATCAAGATTTCCGATAATCCCGCCCTCGACCTGCCCGAGAGCGCCGCCGGCGTCTATAATGGGTAGGAATGCACACCAGTTTCTCACACGCATTGTTCTAATGAAGGTGGGAAAGCTTGTGATTCAGCGTTTATATCATCCTGAGACTCTTAAAACCAACTGAGCAGTCCCTAGTGATATAGGCTCCTATTAATTCTGTCTTTGTGGTGAATTGTTACATTGAATTAGATTAGCCAGTGTGCTGCTGAGCTCAGCCAACCAGCATTATTCCTAGTTATAAGGTGTCTTAATAGTGCTTTATAAATGAGTTTGACTGTTAAATCACATCATGAGACGAGATACAAAGGGAGTTTATTTCTTTCAGTTCGATAAGAATGTTTTATTACTTGATTTAAATGCTCAACAAAAGGCTCATAAACTTGAAATAACCATTGTGCAACATACCTTAATGTTGAACATGGTTAGTTTAGATTAATGTTATCCTTCATGCAAGTTTTAAGACATTTAAGAGTACTCTGTTTTGTCTGATAGTGTTGTTTTACCACAAGAAAAGTTCAATAAATGAAGAGACTACTAGAGAAACTAAACTAAAAGTTATTCAAAGCAGATCCGCTCATTCTCAATCTCCTTTATACATACGAGCAGTGTTGGTCAAGTTACTACTAATTAGTAATAAGATTATGCAATTAAAAAAGTAATTGGTATATATACAGATGTACTTAGAATGAGGGCTGCGAGTAAAGATTTGAATAACGTTTCGGGGCCTTGCCTGCTCACATCAGTATGCAAAGGAAGTTGTGCGCTGGCTGCATTTGAATGGGGTTATTATGATGTGAGGATAGAGGGATTGGGAAGCGGGTCAAAATCAATATGTGAAACACTGTGGCCTGTTAAACGCTCAGATATTGTGCCAAAACAGTTATACATGCTCACAAAATTGCCCATCTATTGCCCTTCTTGTGCCCATTTCTTTCTATTTATGAGCGTATAATATGTCATTTGTCTTTGTGCTTGTGAGGTTTGCAGTATGCCAAAGTGTGTTGTATTTTTGTTTCAGTTCTGGTGAGGAAGAAGGAGAAGTTATTCACATGGGCAACGCCATCATGTCCTTCTACTCGGCTCTTATTGACCTGCTGGGACGCTGCGCTCCAGAGATGCATGTGAGGATCTTTTTCGTCATGCACAAACGTACTTGTGTTGCTATTTTGACCCTCGATACAGTCACAGAGACTACTGTAGGGACTTGAATGAAATGCAAAGCTGAATATTCCCCGTTTGTGTCTCTTACAGCTTATCAATGCAGGTAAAGGTGAGGCGCTGCGTATCCGAGCCATCCTGCAGTCCCTGGTTCCAACGACAGACCTGGTGGGGATCATCAGCATCCCGCTCAACATGCCTGTGCTTAATAAAGGTATGTCAGTGTTGCAAAAACAATCAATGTTATCTAGCAGGGAAGAAAGTTGTATTAGCATCCAAAAGGGACACACAGAAATCTCCCACTGTCGCATAAAAATAGATTTTGGACTGAATTCAAGGATGAAACCGGTCGCACACGCAGCGCTCTGATAAAACATTTTGATTTAGACCAAACACAAGCTACAATATATCAGAATCTAATTTTCTCCCCAGCCTACTGAACTAACAATCCACATAGTGCCTAGAAATATGACATTTATTTGGCAGATGTGTTACAGTATGTGAGTCATGCTGTCAGGTGAAGGCAGCTGACATAAATTCATCATCATCAATCATCTCTGCACTTTGAGAATCATCTCGGCTCCGCCAGCTTGAGGTCTATCATGAAATCCACGGTGTCACACAGACAGGCTTCGTTCGGCAGGGAATATTTATATATATATATATTATATATTATATCCTCTCCTGCCTCTCTGTTTCTACTGAGGAGGAACATTGTGTTTTTTAGAACCTTTGCAGTTTGTGCCCTGATGAAAGAAAACTTCATATCCAATTTTCTTTGTAACATCTTCAAATAAGAAAGCAGGTTGTATTCTGAATTGAACTCATTTTTCAAATAACTGTCTGCTGCTTATCAGCCCTGGAATTACTTTTAACTTTTAATACGCATTTATTTACACTTATAAACTTTTTTCATCAACTACCTGAATAAATTCAATGTTTACGGCACATTAAAACTTTTTCCCCCTGAAATGTGTTTAACCTTCAGATGGCACGGTGATGACAGAACCCGACATGTCGGCCTGTTTCTGTCCGGACCACAAGGCCCCCATGGTGCTCTTCCTGGAGAGAGTGTACGGCATCGAGGACCAGAGCTTCCTGCTCCAGATGTTGGAGGTCGGCTTCCTGCCTGACCTCCAAGCCTCTGCGTCTCTGGACACGGTGAGTGACAGAAAACGCAAACACTTTTCCACTTTCACCATGTTTCCTAAAAGACTTGCAAGCCTGTAAAGTAAAATAGTGTTCACTAATAAGCAGTTATAATATTTAATACTTGTTTTTTTTTTTGTTCTTTTTACATCAACTGGTGTTTATGTCGCTCGGTAATAATTCCAGTGCACACAGCTGAGTTTGAGTTTCTAGTTTGCTCATTAGATGTGACTGAGGCAGATAATCTCAGCAAACATGAACAACGTTTGCTCAGTAGTGAAGTCAGGACACATTCTCGTAATGGCTGCCTCAGAGAAACATTAACTTAATTATTGGTGAATCATAAAGTCAGAATCATTAAACCTTCGCTTATCCTTATATAATCATTACTCAAACCAGTTCTTTAATACTCCCTACTGCTGCAATATGTGAATCACCATCGTACCACTGTGTACATTTAAGAGAACCAATTGACTTGTTCCTGTTTCCATGAGTCTTATATTCACTATAACTTTCAGTGAATCTTGCTATGTGGGGTGATGTGTGCTTTACCTCTCATGTTGCTCACGTGTTGCTCTCTGATCCCCAGGAGGTGTTGAGCACCACGGAGACGGCGTTGGCCATGAACCGGTACATCGGCTCGGCCCTGCTGCCTCTGCTCACCCGCTGCGCCGCTCTGTTCAGCAGCACGGAGCACTACGCTCAGCTGATCGACTCCACGCTGCAGACCATCTACCGGCTGTCCAAAGGACGCTCGCTCACCAAAGCCCAAAGGGACGCCATCGAGGAGTGTCTGCTGGCTATCTGCATGTAAGGCCTTCGCTCATTCAAACTCAGCGAAGGGAGAGAGACTGCACCAAGTGCACCATGCCACTGTATGTTTCAAACAACGCTTTTCTTATAACCCATACTGAGCATCCTACATTTCCCAGGCACCTGCGTCCCTCCATGATGCAGCAGCTGCTCAGACGGCTGGTGTTCGATGTTCCCATGCTCAGTGAATACTGCCAGATACCTCTCCGGGTGAGAAATTAGTTTCTGTCACCATTACGCCTGATTTATTATTATTTTTTATAAAGTTGTGGAATAATTATAAGTAACTCTATGAACCCTTGTGTTTGGTCAATGATGCGCAAGATTATTAAATCAACTTGAACTCAAATTGTTATGTTTTCGTGTATCTCTGTTCTCCAGCTTCTGACCAACCACTACGAGCAGAACTGGAAGTACTACTGCCTTCCTTCTGGGATAATCAACTGTGGCGTTTCCTCGGAGGAAGAGCTCCTTCTAACCAAGAAACTCTTCTGGGGAATCTTTGACTCCCTTTCTCAGAAGGTACAACAAAAAACCCTTGTTGTATAGAACATTCATTAAAGTGGACCTATCATGCTATATTTGAATAATATAGTGTAGGACCATACCTATATAAGGCATATTTATACTTTTTATTTTTCAAAATACCAAACAGATCATGCATTTTAGCCATTCCTCATTTCGCTCAATTTAACACTGTCTTTGCATGGGCTGATTCTGTGAGAACAGCACCATCTACAGGCCTGACATATGTACTACAGCGTCTCCAGCGCTTTGGAACGGCAATGCCCGTGGCTGTCTCCTCCTGATTGGTGGAGTTGGCCCAATAGCCGTAGTGCCACTTCTGTGACGTCATAGAAGTGTTCAAATCTGGATCAGTTTGTATCAGATCCGTTGCAGCCCCTTTTTAAGAGATTTGGGTATGGAGGAAAATAGAGAGGGTTGTGTTTTCTGACACTTGGTGAGTTCCCTGGAACACCGGGGACACATATTCATGTAGAAAAGACGTACAAAAGTGCATTTTTGCATGATAGGTCACCTTTAAGTTTAGCCAATGGTATCTGCATGGACTAAGAATGTATTTATGATTTTGGAAAGCTATTACATCTCTGTACTTTTTGAATCTGGGGTTCCTTTTGCTTATTTTATATCTGTGAGAATAATCCACAAATACCTCTGGAGGCCAGGCAATATTTTCCCTGAATCCCAATCATAAAGATTTCATCTGTTTGCTGCTTCGTGAGAAAAAAACAACTCACACCCGAGTGTGGCTCTCAGGAGAGAAAAGTTCTTGTTAGTCAGAGGTAGTGAAATGAAAGCTCAATGAGGTTCCTGTGAGCGCTGCAGCTGAGGCGAAGCCAAAACAGATGAATCATTTATCAGTCTGTGACAGGCCATCGCTCCGTGCACACTTTCACAGCTTTCTCTCTTTCAGTTTAGCATCCCTCCGTTTTTCTTTCCTTCGCTTTGCTCTACTCAGTCTGTCCATCTAAAAGCTAAACATGCATACCTCTATTCTGCTGTGTCTGCTGTCTTCTGTAGAAATATGATGCTGACCTTTTCAAGATGGCCACATTATGCCTGTGTGCCATCGCTGGAGCCTTACCACCTGACTTTGTGGATAGTAGTCTTGGAGCAACACTGGAGAAACAGGCGCCAGTGGATGCAAAGGGCAACTTTGATCCCAAACCCATCAACACTGCCAAGTGAGTGGTCTGAAAATGCCTTTTTTTTTTTTACATGAATCAATTATCTAAAACGGATGTACTATTACACACTTTTAACATTCTCTCCACTTCCAGTATTTCCCTTCCTGAAAAACTTGAGTACATTGCCAACAAATATGCAGAGCATTCCCATGACAAATGGTCCTCAGATAAGGTGAGTCCCTGTCATCTGGTCCCTTGTTCTGACAGATCATTTAACCCATCTATCGTATACCATAGATAACTTTATTTTATTTGATTAGTTATATTACATTGTTTGTATCAAACACCGTCTGGTACTGAAGCATGCCTGGTTTTGCAAGTTTTGACATATTTGTATTTGTTATGATTGCAGTTAAGAGCATGAAATGCAATAGACCACACTTTATACAATACACTGTTGTTGCAGGTATCAGCAGGCTGGA